TGTGTGTGTGTATGTGTGTGTGTGTGAGAGAGAGAGAGAGAGAGAGAGAGAGAGAGAGAGAGAGTGCGTGTGCGTGCGAGTGTGTTTCATAATATAGGCTGTCTAACAAAAATGAGGACACACTTAAAGTAAAGGGCAATATCTCGGTCACCTCTGTATTAATTATTTCAACAAAACTGCGTCCAAATTCCAAATAAGATTCAACCGAGGGTGGCTGGGCTGTTTCCGAACAAGGACGGTAAAACCACGACAGCCACATAGGAAGGATATCTCACCATGCTGAAAAAGTTTGTGCTGTATGCCACTGTATGGGTCTGAGTTCAGTGCGAGGGAGCCACACCCCACATGTCAAGAGTGGCCCTTGTATAGTTGCAAGAAACATGTGGGTAACGCCTACCCTTATGAGCCGAAAGTTTACAAATATATGGTTATCACATTCCTACCAACCTGAGCCCCTTCAATTATTAATTTTGACATTTAATTTTTTTGACGGGGGCGGGGTGGTGTGATAGTTTATCGTAACAATTCACAAGCAATAGAGCAGTAAGTTGAAAAGGACGTCCAAAGAATCGACCTAGAAACATGCTACAGGTTATTCAAAATTTCCTGAGGCCATGTATGGAGAGAAATGGTCAGCACCTGGAGGTTTTTATTATCCGGTCCCCTTGAGTTTATTTGGCAACATCAATTTTGTATAGGCTTACCTTTGTTTTTTGACGCACATAGTGATATAAGTCTAATTATTGTGATTGATCTTTAAGAAGCTGCAAACTTTTACGTCATACTCAACTTTGGTTGAACCCCCCCCCCCACTAGATCTTGATTTTTTCGGTATAGATCTAGAATAATCTAGATCTCAGTTGACTTTTTTCCATATTGACGATTACATATCCGGCCTGGCTGAATTTGATTTCTTCGACGTTTTGTTGAAATTGGTCAAAGGATGACAAAAGGGTGACCGAATTATTGCCCTTTAAGTGGGTTCTCTGTTTCTTCTCTGTCATTAGGCGACTACCTGTACTCAGTAGGTCCCTACTCACATCCCACAACTCTATCACAAAAATTCTCTATCTCTGTCTCTCTCTGAGCTTCTCCCCCCCCGCCTCTCTCTCCTGCTCTTTCTCCGCTCACACACACACACACACACACGGGAAATTTTTTCCCCTCTCCCCGCTTTCTTCTCTATCTCTCTCCTTCCCTCCCTCAAATACGCACAAATACACACAGACACACACACACACAGACGCACACTCACTCACTTTCACAAAAACAGATGTGAGTGGCACGAACATTGTTGGTATAAAGTATGTACATGTACATGTATTTGACTCACATCCTAAACACGCACCCTCCTTTAGGCCAACACACAACACTGCCCCCCCCCCCCTTTTTCACTCTCTCTCTCTCTTTCTCTCTCTCTCTCGTCTCTCTCTCTCTCGCTCTCTCTCTTTCTCTCTCTCTCGTCTCTCTCTCTTTTTCTCTCTCACCCCCTTCACTCTCTCTTCATTTTTTTTACTCTACACTGGTCTTTCTCTTCATTCCTAAAATTGCTTTATACACAAATCTAGATTTTAATCACTTTACTTGAAGAAATCTCATTTTAGCACCACGCCTAAACAGAATACTCGGGAGAACAGAACGGGCGGGGCGATGGGAAATTTGTTCAGTTTATTTACGGATTCGCATTTGGTGCATTTTGATAAACGTCGTAAAACGTAAACTTAATTCATTTATCTTTTATGATTACTAGATTTAATAGCAATCAGTTGTCTATTGATCAAATGTGTTTAAATACTTCTCAAAAAGCTTTCTATTTCCTGTAGTTGGCAAGATACCGAAATTTATAGCAATGTTTTGAAGAAACGACTTTCAATACCTATTTTCATTCCCTGTCGACAACAAGTTGTTCTTCTGCTGTTCGACATGGCTTCCGGATCGGACTCCGTTACAGACAGTCAAAAAACGAATAGTTTATCAAACCGCTCCGACTCGCAGCCTGATGCTGAAGTGACAGACACAGAAATGAAAGGATACTTGATGAAAAGAGCTAGACTGTCTCGTAAATGGAAACGCCAATGGTTTTTGCTTAAAAATTGTGACCTCTATTACAGCGAATCTCCAGAGGTAAGCCCCCCCCCACCTCTTTAAAAAACCTTTTTTGCTCATTCATTAATTAAAAATAAGGGGCTCAGATTTTTATACTTTTCTTGCTTTAGCGGTTTTCTTTGTGCAATGTTTATAATGTTTCATCAACTGAAGTATTTGTTGATTCATCATTATTGGTACCTTCATCGTTATTTTGAAAATCTGAATCTCAGTCAGGCTAAATAATTTAGCATAATTTTTTGGTTTGGATTTTACGCTGAAGATTTCGCAATCGGCTGAGCTGATGTCAACACAAAATTATTTTTCTATGGAGTAGGCTAGTGCTATTCCCAACCCAAAAGTTTGAAATAGTTCACTTCTTTTTCATGTTCTTGATGTCAAAAGTGGAGAGAAGCATTTATTTAACTCACTGACTACTGGCCTCCTTCACAAATCACTAGCGCTGAGTACTGGCATTTTTGGGGGTATTTCAAAACACCACCACAACTCTCAGAATTACCCTATTGTAATTATTTTTTGACACAGTAAAGTAACTTTCAAACTTAATCTATTGCAAAAAATTTACGTTCTCTATGTCTAATACTTTAATTCTAATGATTGTTTCAAAATTGGAATGAATTTGATTTTTCGAAAAATTTCCAGAGACATGACAGATAGAATGAAATTCACAATTGCAACAAAAATAAAAGTTCAAAGTGTTCTGTTTTGATTTGTATCTATTTGTGAGTGTTTGGTGAAAATATAAAAGCTGGTCTGTGCGTTTATTCAGACCCATACACTGAATTACATGAGACAGATGTAGGAAACGAAGTTGTGATTTCGTTGCGCGAACAACAACAACAGTACTAGTGCTAGATCTAGCCCTAAAACTACGACTCGGGCCGTGTTCCGGTACATATCCAGGGTCCTAACTATCAGACACATCATATCCTGAGTCACTAGAACTAGCAAAACGTACAGAAGTATCGAAAACTGCGAAATTATAATGTGATTCTTGTTCATGCGACCGTTACTTCAACGCGACTGTCGGATTATTATCATTTGTATAGACCATACATAGCACGAGTTCCGGTCAGGTCAACCCCAGATGAGGTGACTGTCCTTCACCTTCAATTGCTTAAAAAGTTACCACAAAACTTCCGCCAGACTCCGCACGAAACGAAACAAGAGGCAAAACTAGCACTGGAGTCCGTTCCCGTTCATGTGACGGGAGCACAAGATACGGAACAAAACCGCAAAGTCCATCCCGTCGGGGGTACGGGATCCGTACCTGCGAACCGACCGTCCGCCCGTACCCGTGACGGGATCCATAGTCAGTGAGTTAAAAAGCCTAGATCAAGATCTAGATCTAGATTCTAGATCTAGAATAGATGATAAAGTTTGGGTAAATTTTTACTTTCACTCCCGTACACAGATGCACTGCTTCAGGGGTCAAACTGCAGTACTGTTTGCTGCAGATCACAAATAAAGCCACTAAAACTGTCGCAGATCAATTATTATTAAGAAAACTTCAGACAAATCTAACTGTAAAATATCAAATTATGGGTTAAAACAGGGGAGCATGCCCCCCTGTGACCCCCCAGATTTTCTTTTACCTCTGGGGGGCAGGCCCCTCTGGGACCCCCTGATTGGTCCAAAGCACGTCTATCTTGATTAAGAACAATCAAATATTTCAAAAACTATTAATTTGCGACGGAAATGAAGTTGATATTCGTGTTCAGCGCATCAATATTTAGTAGAATATGGACAACTGGTAGTTAAGTGTGAGATGGGAGGGAAAGTAAAAAAATACCAAAGTTTGTTCTCTAAGATTGATTAATTATAGAGAGAGTCAATCGTCAAGCTTACCTTTTTTTCTATCTTCAACTTCTACTCCCGTTCTGTTTCTGGTATACTAAACATTTAATCATATTAGAAGTATAGGGTAATTGTCTTTAATATCTATATTAAATTTTTTATGAAAAGGTAAGTCTATATGTGTGGGGATGGGAGGCATGGTCGTCCTGAAGATTTTGATAGTTGGGCTGAACGACCACTATTGCTTGAGTCAAATTAAAGTCACGCTTAGGTAGTTACACAGACTTGCAACCAAATCACCATGAAGCACTATTTGGGGGATCTTGTGGCCTAGAGGTGAAGGTGTTTGCCTCTCATTCAAAAGTTCTAGGTTCGAATTCCGGTAGCGCGGGAAAAATTTTCTTCTCCAAAAATTGTCTCCTTTCACCCCCTTTCCTGGTCTCTAGCAATGTTCTTTAGTTTGCTTTCGTATCCACTTTCTGCCCCCACCCCATCATCTCCTTTGCCCCATCCTCTGGGCTCCTGACTCCTTCTGCAGGCTTTTTACTGCTTCTCTTTGGCTCCTTCTTACTGCTGTCTTTCCGCCATACCCCTGATCTTCTGGTAGGAAAGATCTACACCTATCCTTCTCGGACAAAGGCGAAAAATCTCGGAGGTCACATGTGCACGTTGCACTCATTAAAGATCCCTTGGTGGTCTAAAATCGATTGTAAGAGTAGATTTGGCCGCCACCCGGGCAAAATTCAAAAATTTCCCACCAATTGAAAATGTTTGGTGTGTCCCGTGCGCTCATCATATGACCTTATGCAGTTGCGAGCGCGGTAAAACACTTACTTGAAAAAAAAGCAATAAAAAAGCACAATTTCTCCATTGAGGCTTCAGTCAATCTACAATATTTTGGGGCAACAGTCAGAAAACTTGGCTTTAGCGATAGAACTTGTATAGTCTGGGGCTCTGGTAAAGCCAATATAAAGACAGTCAGCAAGCAAGTGTAGCATTATTGTAATGAAAAATCCTCTGTTGCCAAGGGGTATGTGTTTTTACTGTCAGCACTGATTTTTCAGAGCTAAGAGCATTAATTAGCCTGGAAAGCAGTCGCCTGTCTCAGTGTTTGTGGATTCGCTGCCTAGATCTAGCCCAATCATGACAAACATAAATATGGACCCAATAGCCTTCTATAGTGTCACCTTCTTCATCTCACTTTCTTCATTCCCCTTGTTTATCTTACCTGTATAATTTCGAAATACTCATTCAGATTCATCTTAGTCAAAAAGTAAAATTTGCTGCCTTTTAAAAAGTCATTTTGGAGTAAATTTTACTTTTTGCAAGAACACGGTATAATATTCTTCCTCGGAACTAGTCCTGTGTTTTGGTACCGATGTTTATACGAATCCACATTGTGTTTATTCCTTAACTCTTTGAAGACTCACCCACTTTCTCATTCTCGATACCCTGTGACCTTTTGTACCAGGTCACCCTTTTTTTTCCTATCAACTGTACAAAAATAACACTTACACCTCTAAAAAGCCACCTTAGACCACTAGTTTAGCAAATAAACATGTTAAAAAGCTGACACGGCGACAATGTAATTATCCGCTGACGTGTTTTCAAAGAGTTAATCTCCAAACAGAAAAATTAGGATAGATGATAAGCGGAACGTATTTGTAATGTCATATTACTGGGAATGGGAAATTATGCCAAATACCATGATGCCGTCCATGGTGCAATGCAGCAGTGTACAAAGCTAAAAATTAAGCTTAAAAGCGGCACCATTGCTTTGTTCTTTGTTCCTTCCACGGATATCGTGCTTGAATCTCTGACAGTTGTGGTCTTTGTTCTGACCATGTGCATTAGTCCTGAGAAATACATGCTTCTCACTGGATATTGCCCTGCGTTTTTGTCTTTTCATCTGTTATCACCTGCACGAATTACACGATCTCGTACAACAGTAGTCCCCTTATTAACGCCAAGTGTTTGGGAGGGCTCCTGGACGTGTGTTTACTCGGAGTATGTATTTACATGAACCTGAGCAAAGGGGAAAGGGACACAACCATCTCATTTCTTTATATTTTAGTGATTACGGTTATATCCCTTGTGAGAGAGGGTCGCATGATTTACCAGAGAGGGTTTACAGTAATAGAGAGGTGACACTCGTGGCGGCGCTGCGCTTTTCCCTTTCGTCAACCCGCAGCCGCCTCCCGAATCGTCAGCCACTCCCAACCTTTGACACGGGTCAAACTTCAATCTATTTATAATTATAGGTAGTTACCGGAACATGTATAGGTGAAGTGATGTGCCGTGATAGTTGCGATATATTATTTATTGAGATTGTTTTGGTCTCTCTTTATACGGGGTGCCCACTACGGACGGGATCGGCCGATCGAGGGCGATCGCCCGACTCGATCGCCTGAAACTGAAAACAAACACGTTTGTTTTTGAGGCGATCGAGTCGGGCGATCGGGCTGATCGGCCGATCCCATCCCTCATCACCACGAGAATTTCTTGAAGTTTTTCCCTGGACTCTGCCTTTACTAAAATCTCGAATCTAGATCTAGAGTTGTAATCTAGGTCTAGTGGCAGGTTGCAGATTTCTGTTATCCAGTACATTCAAGAGATTAAATAAATTGGACTAGATCTAGACTCTAGACTCTAGACTCTAGTAATAGACTATTCTACTTCTACTTTTAAACCTTCGAGATCACAATAAAGGCCAAGCCTAGGCTTGTAAGGATTAGTTTTGTTAAAAGTGTTGTTTAACACAAAGTCTAAGAAGTTAGCAAACCTAAAAAAAAATTCTAACGAAATGAAGCTTAAATTGACTTTTATATTGTCAATAAAAGATCAAGTTTAATCACCTAGATATCTA